TAAATTAAAAATAAAAACATGATGAAATTTTTAAAAAAAAAACAAAAAATATAATTTTTTTTTAAATTTTACAACTGTATATTAAGTTTTTTAAAAAAAAACATTATTTATAACTTTAAACCCAAAAGGGGTTTTTAGGCTCGTGCTTTCTGCATATTTTTTAATTGAAAAAAAGGAAAATAGCGCTATTTATTTGTAAAAAATTTTAGGGCCTGAAAAATGACTCGGTTTTCCCCGTTTTCTTTAAAAAGGGGAAAACCCGGGTTTTTAAACATGTTTTTTCCCACGATTGTCCCGAGGGGATTTGGGGAAAATTGCAACGTCTTTGGGTTTCCGGCAAATTATTTTATGGATAACCTTACCCGAAGATTTAAAAACCCCAAAATTTCCCCAATTGCATTTACATTTATGGGGGCCCCGTCATCGCAGCCCAGTGAAGTTAGCTCGTTTTAAGTAGAAAAAAAATCGTTTTAAGTAGATCTAGCAAAAAAAAAAAAAAAAGAATACCAAAACACACACACGCAACAACGGCGCTTGATCACAAGATTTTAACCGCTTATGCATGTTTTTTCTCAATTTACGTTAACCTCCGTGCGCTGTGCTTCTGCAAGAATTACCGATAATGCCAAAGAAATTTTAGAAAGAAATCGATGTTGTTATGTTGAATAAATCGAATAAATACACACATCTTTAAATAGGATGGCAACATTGTATTTTAGTGAACATTAAAGTAACCGTCCAATTATAGAAAAGAAATATCGAACAAAACATATAAAAGTATATATAATAAATATAATATGAATCTAGCTACTTTTCGCCAGACCGCTGAAGTCCGTGCCAATATTATATTATCTAAAGACCCACTGCGAAGTATATAAATAGGAAAGAAACACATTTATGTAAGTAAAATTTTCTTTCTTAATTGCATGCTGCTACTTTTGATCTTAAACAAAATCTACGCAATAATACACTTGTATACATCACAGCTAACCCACCTTTCCTATGTATGTGAAATTACCATCCAGACCGAGAATTTCTCTTGGTCCTTTTAATGTTAATGCAAACCAGAGATTGTCCATTCCAGCAGCCGTTTGATTGAAATCTGACGTCATTTCTGTTTCAGATATACCAGTCACATGACAGTTGCCTTTGACTTTGTCTACTATGTAAGCAATTCCTGTAATGTTTTCAGAGTGTTATAACTAAAACAGAAGCTGCCAAAAAACCCAAAATAGTTGTTATGCAGAACTCGACTAAATTGGCTTTTAGTAATGCCAATATTAATTAATATGTTTATGCCTTGTGGCTTTGTCAATTTGTTATTGTGCTATTTGTGAAATAATAAAGCTTCTCTTTCAAACTGATCTCCCGGTACACAAGCTAAATGACAATGTATGCACAAGTCAACTTCATGTAATTGCAACTATGTTCCAAAGAAAGGTACAGTGATCAGAAGTAACAAGTGCTTGCAAGACATGGTAAATTTTGAATTGCATATGCTCGCAAGACAGGATACAGTGATTTTGTATATCAACTGTGAAACGTTTATCATCATATTATTAACATAACTTATAACTTCATGATGCACTGTTATTGGCAAAAGAGTAGTCAACGTATTGTGCTTATTTTTGAATTTGTAACTATAAAACTTTGTTTGTTTGTATCACCTGACAAGCTGGGAAATCTAAAATATTTTTAATTCTGGAATATGTCTATCCAGGGCATTTCTGCTTTTAATCCCAACGCAATTTGTTTTAAAACGCTTTATTTTGGTTTTTTTTTTCCTGAACTTTTTTCTAAGATATGATTAAAAAGTAGGGGGCCCTTTTTAAAAGCCCGTCAACTTTTTTTAAATGAATTTCCCATTTGTCAACCATAATTGAAATCGTCTTTTATAGATAAAGGGCGTGTTTTGAGAAAACCCTGCCCCGGGGCTACTGGTAGCCTCATGTACCCCTTTTAAACTATGTTCTTTTTTTCTGCATACCAGACCTGAAAAGTGTTTTAAAAAAAAGGAAAAAATTTTTTAAGGGGCCATTGATATCGTTACAAACTCAAAAAAATTTATAGAAAAAATAGTTTTTAAGATTTTTAAAAGATAAAATTTAAGATAATATTAAGGGAAATTTAAATTTCGTCAAAATTTCCTTTCCCTTAGAGTTATGGGCCCTTGTTAATGTGACCGCCAGTTACTGGTTTAAATTTTAAGTGAATGCTTCAGTAAAAATTCAATCAAGAATTCTTTTGCTAAATCATAATCATGTCAAAATCAATGGAAGAGTTATTGAGCAATTTGACTGTTGTATACCGAAGCAATCAAAGTATTGGTATCTTTTCTACATAAGAACCAAATCATTAACGTAGCATTGTATAATGTATATATATATTTTCTATTTTAGCCAATTAATGAGCTTTTCTTGATAAATCTCCTGCTAAATAAAACATTACTTACATCTGCCTCATATATCGCTTTACTCCCGGAATCAAAGCGTTCTATCTTTGCATGAAAATAGTTCTTTACGCCTGGAACTGGAATACTTGTACGCCCGGGGCAAATTACTCCAAGCGGGGGCTAAAAGAATAAACCATGATTTATAACCATTAGTGACATCATTGTGTTAGGAAATATTAAAACATTACATGGCGACGTTTGACATAAGATATAAAAAAGCCTACATATTTATCATGGACAATTGTGCAATTTGTAATATTACCTTTATTTCAATTTTTAACAACTTCATAATTTCATTATTCTTTTTGTGTTTAAGTGACACAAACACTGTAATGGCCATATGTCGACTCTCAGTTTTATTGTAAGACCTCAAGAGCTAATTTGTGCATTATTTTAGGCACGAACGGGCACCTTAGTATAACGAGCGACGTTCCGTTCATTCATTCATCTATTTTCCTGATTGATTTATCTTTTCAATGTAAGAGAAAATCAAGTTGTTTTGTAATTGATAAAGAATTAAAACATATACAATTAAAGTGAAATTACAAAATAAAAACCAACAAACAAACAAGCAAAACAATCCCCCAAAACAAGAAGAAGAAGAGAAGTGACACAATATAATAACTTGCTTCAAAAACTGTCAAGTCAGCAATTTCTGTTCTAAAGTCAACATAATCATAGTAATGTTCAACATGTGACACCGCCCCTGTAAAGTCTTCAGTCACTCCCTTCACGTAAGCTCGAACTGGAATTCTAGGATATGCTATAGCGTCTTTCCATTCTTGAACTGAATTTAAATGTTAAAAACAGCAAAAGAGATTACAATTTGTACTAGACATTGTTTTAGTGATTTAAATGAAAATAATATGATACTATTTTCAATATTTTTTACAGTTTTAGAGACTAGCGTACCATATTCAAACAATTAAACAATAAAGCGCTCAAGACTGTAATGTACAGAAGATAGTTTGTTAAAAACTATTTTGTAAATTCTAGAAATTTTCTAGTACTTATGATACGTATATTTGCAATATCAAAAGTACAGATTGAACCTTGTATAATTATGTAAAAGACTAAAAGATTCTAAAGATATTTTATCTATACTCCTGTGCCCAAATATGCTTCATTTTACAATATTCCTTTGCATATACTACATAACATCCCTACAAACCAAACATAACATGAACATGGATTTAGTTTATATTTTCATTAAATAAACTTGAAAATTTCAGTTTGTAATATCCTACCCGTGAAATAGTAGTCTAGGGTAAAGTTGGCTCGAATCTGTGGCCAGTATATACATGATCTCCAATGATCAACGCTGATACCTCGAACTACATCTTTACCCATGTATTGCTGAAAAATAATACAAAACATTCGTAAAACTGTTGTTATAATTCAACAAAAAATCATTTTTGAAAACAATTTAACAAATTGAATAAAGTTTTCTTCACAATTGTAAATAAATATTTTTTTCAACAGACCGTGAAAATTAAGATTTATATGATAGCAATGATTTTCTGTCACATTACATAATCGTTACTTTTCGGCCCTTTCCGTCAATCGTGGGATAAGAACGATTTAGAAAATTCGTTGAAATATTACGTTGTAACAATCGGTACACCTCGACAATCTCGGAGTTGATACGAATTTAAAGTAGTTTCATATCATATGACTTCAGATATAAACGAAACTAGACGAATGAGTAACGGATGTATTTCTTTTATAAGGTAAATGTAGGTAAACTTTTTTATTGAAAAATATGTCTTACAAATAGAATGAATTTAAATATCCTGTATGTTGTAATGAAGGTTGTTACCACACTTAAGTGAAATTTTATATATGTATATAATTATGCTCAAACATCGAAGAATATGTAAAATATGTACTGCAAAAATTTGTTCACATTATATGTTATCATTAAAATATATGCATTCATTTCTTTAAAAAAATTAAAAAATACTGAGACTTTATTGAAAATGAATTTCTAATGACCTCCCTTTATAAACACGAAATGTAAATTCGGTAATATTTTTACAAATAGTACTTTTTGAAACTTACAATATTGATAAATCTTCATTTTAGCATTATATTTATGATGTAAAACCATAAAAATGAGTTACAGGATATTTAAGAATGTCAATTGTCAACCAATAATAACCGATTCCGAAATATCGTCAACAGACTGGTATATGGATTTTAGGACTTTTAACATGAAAACGAGGATAGATGGAACATGATGGCTACTTGATTTTGTTTTCGTTTCTGTAAATAAAAACGAGGCTATATGGGGTTCGATATGCATTCGATATGGATTATTTTGGACTTTGGAATTGAAAACGAGGCTAACTTAAGGGAATACACTGGAAGTCCATAGGCTACATTTTATAGTATATGAATTTAATATATTCATTTTCATTTTTTTACCTGTCCGGATGATTTTAGAAAATGTAGGGCTCCTCTAGAGTTAAGAATATGAGGAGGAATTCCACCCTTTGAAAAGCTGCCAAAATAGACGTCTGTCGGATCCGTGGTGAGATTCTTTACTTGACATGATTTTCCTGCAGACAAAGAAATTGTTTCATAACATTTGTCAAATTCTATTCCTAAGATTCCCCAAGAAAAAAGGCAGATTACATGGATTAAATAGATAATTTAGGCTAGCTTTACATAGTAGCGATTAATTGTTTTCGAAGATGGCGACATTTGACTATTGTCAATATTAAATGAACAATTGTATTGCCATTTCAAGAATTTCTTTATTTTATCAAATAATATTATATACATAAATAGTTCAAAGTAAAATTGACTCAATTGATCCGGCGTTAAAAAGACATGTCCTGCCTTAAGAAAATTGTTAAACTGGGCTTTCCGGCCTCTTAAGTAGAACGGACCTAAGAACGTGTGATATCTATTGTTTAAAGAAAAGAATATATCCAGCTACCTGACGGAACGCCGGAGGCTCTACTCAAGAGCCCACTGGTGCCTGAAATAATGCACGGAGGGACACGGCCATCAGATGTCTTACTCCATCAGTAAAGCTGGAAACTCGCCATATGTCTTTAACAGTGAACAGGTAAAATCTTACCATTGATGAATGTTAATTGATTATTTGTATAATCAAATAATGAGATATTGTCTGTATCATTTTTGTTTGCTCTCATCGCCGCTCGGTTACCAGGATTGTCAAAATATTCATACGCAGTTATCGTGTATCCTTTAATGACGAAATTCGCCTCTATTGTCGTCTGGAACTGATCTGGCAGGTCCGGTAATGTAGGATCTTAATAAACAAAATATGGTATAAGAAATTGATCACAGAGCTATGCTATATCAAACTTAAGTTATATCAAAGCTATTGTCATAGATGATCTACATAATTCCCGTAAGTAACAAGTTATACGTATACAGTGCAACTTGTACAGGCTCAATCAAACCGAGCCTGCAACATTTTCAATTGTGCCGTGTTGGGATTTCTTTAGGGATTCTGTATTTATCTATTGTAGAGGACAATTACCTCTTTTTAACAACAGTATCAATTCCCCCGAAGTAAGACTATAGCTAAATTCAACCTCTGTAGAGCATCACCTCTCAACAACAACCTTTTTTTGATTCTCTGTAGGTGATGCTTGCAGAGGTTGTACTTTCTTTTCAATAAAATAAAATGTAAGTAACATACATTGTATAATTATTTGGCTTAATCAAAAGATGCAAGAAACTTTAATTAACAAAAGTTATCTATCACGATAGTTAATACTCTACTATTAAAGTATCACAATATCTCGGATTCTCAACAGAGTGCCAGCGCTCAGCACAGATCATCGTAGCGGACTTACCGTTCGGGCTAGCTGTACCGGTGAATTTCGTGCAGTAAGGTGTTTGTTGTCCATACACAGTATATATGAGGAAGACAAATATTCCAGTCTATAAATAAATGTTTAAGATAAAAGCCAGAAATATAGATGAAAATAGGAAAATACAGACATTAGATTTTTTTTCCTTCAGAATATCATAATGCTACATTTCTTTCGGTTCTTGTTTGTTTTTTTGTTTTTTTTTGTTATCAATATTGGAAATAATTAAAGGATATGTGCCCATTCATTGTAGACCAATCCACTTTAAAGGATATTCTTTTAAAAATATGTGAAATAAAAATAATGAAAAGATATTTGAAGAAAAAGAAGTTAAAAGATGAAAAGTAAAGCACAGTATCATTATTTGGAATGACAAAAAAAAACAACCAACTTTATAAGTAGAGGAACAATTCATTACTATAATAACTTATCGTTAGGACATAGAAAAATGTCGAATTCGGAGACATTTTAATAAAGTTGCATGATGATAAAACAGATAAAACTATTTTGATAATGTATCTCACTATGCGCCATCTTTGTTTTATATTTAGCAATCGTTAGTGGTTTAACGTGTGATGATCTATTTTTAGTTTTCGAACGATAAATGGGAAGTGATAACCGATATAACATCTTAGTGATAGTTTCGTGAAACAAGACAGGTTATTTTCTTAGATTTGTCTAAGAACATCCTTTACAGCAATTCATAATAATAACACTTAGAATCAGTTGTTTTATGTAACTCGGTCTTTATTGGTGTTGAACTAACTACAGCCAGCTGGCACTTTTTTCATACGACACTATGAACCAAAATTCACTTTTTACTACCCAGCTATCTTGCGGAACGTCGGTGGTTCTACTGGATGGCCCGTTTGTGCCTAAAATTTATGCACGGAGTGACACCTTTAAGTCATCATTTAAAAGTCATCTAATGACCTTAACAGTGTGTTAATGTGATATAAAATGCAATAAAGTGTGTTGGTGGGTCTGGGTTTGATTCATACACGTTCAAGAAATCTAAAGAAACACTTAGTATTGTCCGCTTTTTATGCTAGAGGTCTATTGAAGAAATACAATTTCTTGTTACTAATATATATACATGTATATATGTATTTAACTTTGCAAACATGACTCTTTTTACTTTGTATAAACAGCAAATCCGACCTTTATTTTTGGATATACATGTACTTTATAAATTGCACTCCAATGGCATGCTAAGTTATAAGAGGTCATTTATGTACCCCTTTAAAAATGAATTCTTACTCGTGCTTATAACTCAAATCGAACTGTAATGTATCTTAAATTTAGTTCATGAATACTTATTATAAAGATAGTATGTATACGTAAGAAAGCAAGAACAAGTCGATATGATATGTATAGTTTAGTTTATATATTTAATATTTTGTTACCATTTCTTTTTTAAATTTGTTAAATACTGATTACAGAGAGAGTTTCAAAAAAGCTTTTCAATCTCCTTACTCAATCGGTAAATTTTATTTTATGTACCTTATTATGTAAATGTATAGATTATAAATAAATAGCGTTAAAACTAAACTTACATGTATTAAAGTTCAAGTTTAAAATATATATATTGCTGTCAACATTATACAATTCTTTGAGCAACAACATATGAACAAAGAAAGTACCATATAAATTAAAAAAACAGAGCATTTTCATATTAAAGGAGCCCAACTCTCGTAAAAAAAGCCTAAAAACATCAATTTGAAATTAACACATGAATACTTTGAGTGAAGCTCTTAAAGGGAAAATTTTGCAAGGATAATGAATAAAGGTGCTCAGATATACGTTAAGGAATGATCTAAAAAGTTATGTGTCCAAACATACATCAAATGGTACACAAATCTCGGACCCGTCATGTAAAAAACACCCCCAAAAAACTCACTGCCGTCTCTTTAGAATTGTTTTAATCTGAACATATGAATACATCATAAAGAAGATTTCTAAACAATTTAGTTCCTGGCCCCATGCTTTCAGTTGCGCCATGTTTTCATAATCGTCTAAAATTCAAATATAAAATAGAAACATATAATAAAGAAGTATCTTACAAATTGATACATTGTATTCCAATTATCCACGAAAGTTTATTCCGAAATTTGTACACAAAATTGTTATTTCAACAATATTCTGTTATAATACAGTCGTTTTTCATCCATATACACGTGAGTTTAGATGTATGATATCACTTCTGATAATTATTATCGTAAACTACCTACCATTAATAGTGAAATATAGTAAAGCTTCACAACAATATATGAATACTATATAAATAAGTTTATATATTTACGTACGTACTTTTTGGGGGTAGCCTTTGTCTGCTTATAAAGGAACGTGATCACAATAAGTTCTGATTTATTTATGCCTTTTTTTTCATAAAAGATGTAAAAATAGTATCAACAATAGGAGAGAGAGTAGACCTCCTTGACCTCCTTGACAGTTGCTTAGTACTTCATATATCAGCTTTTAGCGTTGCTATATTTTTCTGATGCCAATACTCTATTTTAACCGCTGCTGGTGAGTGAAAAATGTTGCGCCAAAAGACTAATTCTACGACTTTCGTACAGAAGGAAATATACTATATTTTCTTTAATTTTTGATACAGTTTGACAAATTAAATTGTAACAATCTTGACAATCCTTGTATAAACTGTATGCAGTTATCTTTGTAATACAGTATATCAAGCTTATCACCATATCGTTCATGATTTTGTTTCTCTATCAGTTGTAAAGTGTTTCAACTTTAGGATTTAAACTGATAAAAACTCAGATATTAATATGTATATCATATTTGCATCACCATCATTGATCTTATATAATCTAATTAATTGTATTTACCATTCAGTGGCTTTGATGTGTTTGAGTATATATAGCATGGATATATATGTCTGGTTTGGGGATGTTACTACACAAGTTATTTACCTGAATAGGTTATAGTTATGCACACTTGCCACTGAATCGTTTTATGCTGCATGTTGCTCCGTAAGCGATTGTAGGCACCATTATGTTATACGCAAATCTGTCATTGGATTAAAAAAACAATATTACCGAAGTAACTTGCATAATCGTAAAAAAATATGATTCGCCTAAATGCAATTGGTCTAGTTTCCAGTCATCTTATTCCATGATCATTGTAATATGAAAAATGAAAACATGGATATATTGATACAATTTGAGCCATGTATTGTAAATTCCCGAATATAACATGATTCCGTGTAGCCAAGACAAGAGAGTACATAAAATATAACAATAAGGATTATGCTAAATTAGGCGTTTGTGATATGCGGTGATTTAGTAATTGGCAACAAAATGTTTCAACCGAATATACTAATATGTGCCACGCACTAGTATTGCAAACGATATGCACGGATTAAAAAGGTTCTGTATATGTACATATATTTTGATGTAGACAAAGCGATTACAGAATGTTCTCTAAAATGTTGTCTCGTCTTCAAAAGACAAAACTCAACTCTCAAACTTGCATAATAATACTACTCTGACGAAGCACACATTTAGTAAGAGAAAATTACTGTCCTCTAAAAAAACTTCTGTTTACACCAGAAATGCCCGCTCTTCTCCGTTTGTAATTTATTTCTCTGTCCCGTTTCCGAAACATATATCTGAAAAAGAAACATTTCGAAAACTGCCATTAGATGTGCTATTTATGTGCCATTAGATGTGCTATTTATCAGTATCTGATTGGTTTCCTATTGCTTCCCAAAATGGACTGACCGGTTATAAAGGTGTATATAGGCAGACATGAAGTTTTTACTTTGAAGAGCAGTTAAGATAAAACATATTATTTGTGAACGTTTACGGCAATTCTAAATTATATGTGAAATAAGACCATTTCAACGTAACTACATGTATAATGTGTGCAATAAAAATAATGACATGCCTGTATTTACTTCTCTCGTCTATGTTTAAATTATGATTAATCAATTAAATTTCAAATTAATTACAATAAAACAAAACTCAGTGTGTGTTCATTACAAAAGTTGAGTAAACACATAATAGAAATACACCATTTCATGCATGGTATTGTCTTAAACAAAATCAAAAATGATTATTATACTCCTCGAGTAAACTTTTTACTAAATAGCCTAATGTGAAGTCAAATATTGTTATTTCGATCCATCATCCTGGAAATGAATAGCATCTGGTCAATAATTTTTTTGTAATACCCCAGGGGCGAAAACACAAAGGGAGATTTAGGGAAAAACAAAAATTCTAAAATATTCCCCCCAGAAAAAGGGAAAAATTTACTTTTAAATTTTGGTTCGATTTTAATAACAAGAGGGCCATGTTTCCCCCTAGAATCGCCCACGTCTGACCTTTAAAACTCAAAAAAACAATTTTTCTAGAAAATCATTTGCCCAAGTCTCATAAGGGGGAGTCAAAAATGTGCCCAAATACAGTTTTAAAAAAAAAAGAAAATTATCCTTTTTAAAGCATTTTGTGCCCTTATTTTTTTAAACCCAGGTACCCTTTATTCAAACTTACCTAGAAATCATCAAAACAAATTTTCAGAAAAATTTTCCCAGGTACTTGGTAAAAAATGCAACCCAAAAAGTGTTAAACCAAAGATTTTTCTTTTTTTTAGTTTCCCGGTGCCCTATTTTAAACATTCGCTTTGGGAACTCAATGGGGAGCAATTACCTTAGAAAGGGCTTTCCTTTGCCCCAATTTGTTGTTTAATTGAGGTCAAAAAATGTGAAAAAACCAAAAATTTAACAAGGGGTTTTTTTAAAATTTTTGGGCGGTGTACCTATTTTTTTCACCCAAAGATCCCCAAATTCGAACTTGATTAGAAATAAAAACAAAAAAAAAATTTTTCAGCCCAAATTTACGGGATTTTTGGGATCAAAACCCAAAACCCACTAGAGTGTTAACAAGATTTTTCTTTTTTTAGCTCCTGGGCCTATTTTTTCATCCGAGATGCCCCAAAATTTTTAAAAACCTTTCCAAGCAAATCAACTGGGAAAAACCCCCCGCCCAATTTTGATGATTTTTTGGGGAAAAATTTGCCCGCTAGAGTTTTTAACAAGGTTTTTCTTTTTTTAGGCTTTAAACCCTTTATTTTTTCTTTCCGAATGCCCCCATGTTCGAAACTTCCCGAGCTAAAAAAAAAGGATAAGCACCTTGCCCAAGTTTGATGATGATTGAAGCAAAAATGTGACCGTTGGGGGTTTTAACAAGGTTTTTTAAATTTTTAGCCCCGGGCCCTATTTTTCATCAGAGATCCCCAGTTCGAACTCATGAAAAGCTATCCCCTAGACAAGCATCCGGGACCAATTTTGATGAGATTAAAGAAAAAATGTACCGGGCTATTTGGGGTTAAAAATTTTTTTTATTTTTAGCCCCGGGTGCCTTTTATTTTTTCATCCGAGAGCCCCATTTGAACATGCAAGCTATCCCCGGAAAAAGAAACCCTGACCAATTTTGATGATGATTGAGGAAAAAATTTGCCCCGGCTAGGGGGTTAAAAAGGGGTTTTTTCCCTTTTTTTAGCCCCGGGTTTACCTATTTTTTCACCGAAATGACCCATTTTTGAACTCAAAAACTTCAACCTAGTTTAAAGCATCTTGCCCAATTTTTGAAATGATTGATGAAAAAAATAAACCGTAGAGTGTTAAAAGGTTTTTATATTTTTTGCTCCAGGGGCCCTTTATTTTTTAAATCAAAAATGCCCCAAATTTTCAAAAACTAATCAGCAAATCACCTTGACAATTTTTTCCTTTGGAACAAAGTTTGATGATGATTGCCAAAAGTTACCGCTAAAATTTGTTAACAAGGTTTTTTTTTTTTAGCACGGTGACCTATTTTTTTCTTTTCCGAAAATAAACCCATTTCGAAACTCATTAAAAAGTTTACCAACAAAACCTGCCCAAGTTTGATGAGATTGAGGAAAAAAATTTGTGCCCGGGGCAAAGAAGTGTTTAAAAAGGGTTTTTTCTATTTTTACCCTTTTTTGACCTTTTTTTCATCCGAAATGCCCCCATTTTCAAAAACAAATCCTAGCTATCAACTAGATAACTTTCCGACAATTTTGAGGGATGATTGAGGAAAAAATTGTCCCGGCGGGAGTTAACAAGGTTTTTCTTTTTTTTAGCCCCGGGGGACCTACTTTTTCTTTCCGAGTTTGACCCATTTCGAGCTCATCCGAGCATCCCCAAACAAACTCTGAAAGTTGTTTGATGATGGCAAAAAGTCCCTCTAGAGGGTAAAATTTTTTCTTTTTTTAAAGCTTTTGTGACCTATTTTTTTCATCCGAGATCCCCCATGTTCGAACTCATCCGGTAAAAAAGTTTAAGCATCCTGCCCAATTTTGATTTTGATTGGGCAAAAATGCGAACGCGGAGTTTTAAAAAAACAAAAGTAAAACGGAGGAAACGAGGGACGACGGAGGGGACGACGGACGAGGGAAAACAATCATCGATCCTAAAAGCTCACCCGGATGGCCAGGAGCAAAAAATACATGCCCCAGCAAAATATTTTTTAATTTTCCTTTTTGCAAATTGGGGACATTTTTTAATTTTTATGATAGGGGGAACACCAAAAAGATTTATTTTTGAACAGTTGAAAAAAAAAAAACGGGGATTTTTAAAAACGACGTTTTTTAATAAAAAGGGGATAAACCTTTTACAGTTTTTTTCCCCTTTATTTTAAAATACATAGATGGCAAGTGGGTAAAGAAAATTTGATCCCCTTAATTTGTAAGCGGGGCTGCAGGTTCAAAAGTCCTTTTGGGAAAAGCACGTTTTTTTTCTTTTAAAATTTTTAGGCAATAACAGGGGATTTTAAAATAAAAAAAATTTAAAAAAGTGCTTTTATATTTTGACTTTTTTTATTTTTTAACTTTTTCCCTTGACCCCGTTTTTAATGGTATTTCAAAAACTTTGAAAATTTGGGGTGGGTTTTTAACCACATTTACCAATTCACTTCAGAAGGGCCAGAATTACAAACAGAAATTAGATTTTTCTGGTTTTTAAACACTGTTTTTTAATTAGTCAAAAAAAATTTACCCCTTTCCCCAAAGACACAAACGCAAGAGATCGTTATCTAAAAACTTTAAAAACCAAGCTTAGCTTCAATTAAAAGGGATAAAATTTAAATGAAATATAAATCGAAAATGGGTTTACTTTAGAAAACAAAAATTT